CCTGGCTCTGTCCTTTCTTCCCAGCACTCCAAGAAGGGATAAATGTCATTTGGTGGATTTCTGTCTCTGTCCTTTCCTGTCACCACTCCGGGAAAGGATAAATGTCCTTTGGTGAATTCCTGGCTCTGTCCTTTCCTCCCACCATTCCAAGAAGGGATAATTGTCATTTTGTGGATTCCTTGTTGTGTCCTTTTCCTCCCACCACCCCAAGGAAGGATAAATGTCCTTTGGTGGATTCCTGGCTCCTGTGCAATATCCTGCAAAACCTTATCCCACCTTCTGGTGTCTTCTTTGGGGAGGAAGAGGGATCTGGTTGAACCTGTATCATTTCAGTCTGATACATATTTAGCAAACAGCATGAATGATAAATTTCTACCTAGTTTTTAAAGTTTATAAATATGTAATACTTCAAGTTTATAAATTCTGGTAATAAATTCGTTCAGGATGGATCACCTGTCCCTTTTCCATCCTGGAGATGCCCTGAGGAGCACAGCAGAGTCACTGTGTGCTCACAGCGGTCTTGAATTCTTGTTTTTAATGAGAAAATTAAGTACCAGACAAATTTGAAATTGGAAAAGGGTTTTCAAGGCAAAATGTGACTTGGGAGCTTAGGATTAGGTGAGTAGTCCATCCCATATTCCAGTCCCTCCAGCAAAGCCAGGCTGACAGGAGGTTGTTACTCTGAGAATCCACCACCTGATTTTTATCCTTGGCCATGAACTTCATCAAATTGAGATAAACCCCTGTGTTTTCCGTGGAAAACCAGCCCTGAGTGATGTCCTTGTGTGTTGCAGGTGGTGGTGGTGCAGGCCATCAGTGCCCTGTGCCAGAAGTACCCTCGGAAGCACAGCGTCATGATGACCTTCCTGTCCAACATGCTCAGGGATGATGTACGTGGGGCACCTGGGCCTTGGGGGGGGATTTGGGGGGCTCTGGTTTGGGGGGTGAAGGGTCTCCTGTGTCAGATGTGCCATGGAAAGTGCAGGGACTGAAGGGTCTCCTGTGTGGGATGTGGATCCTGGAAAGTACAGGGACTGAAGGGTTTCCTGTGTCAGATGTGGATGATGGAAAGTGCAGGGACTGAAGGATCTCCTCCCACATGTGGATCCTGAAAAGTGCAGGGACTGAAGGGTCTCATCCCAAATGTGGATCCTGGAAAGTGCAGAGACTGAAGGGTCTCCTGTGTGGGATGTGGATCCTGAAAAGTGCAGGGTCTGAAGGGTCTCCTCTCAGATGTGGATCGTGGAAAGTGCAGGGACTGAAGGGTCTCATCCCAAATGTGGATCCTGGAAAGTGCAGGGACTGAAGGGTCTCCTGTGTCAAATGTGCCATGGAAAGTTCAGGGACTGAAGGGTCTCCTCCCAAACGTGGATGGTGGAAAGTGCAGGGACTGAAGGGTCTCCTGTGTGGGATGTGGATCCTGAAAAGTGCAGGGTCTGAAGGGTCTCATCCCAAATGTGGATCCTGGAAAATGCAGGGTCTGAAGGGTCTCCTCTCAGATGTGGGTGATGGAAAGTGCAGGGACTGAAGGATCTCCTGTGTCAAATGTGCCATGGAAAGTGCAGAGACTGAAGAGTCTCCTGTGTCAGATGTGGATCCTGGAAAGTGCAGGGACTGAAGGATCTCCTGTGTCAGATGTGCCATGGAAGGTGCAGGGACTGAAGGGTCTCCTGTGTGGGATGTGGATCCTGGAAAGTGCAGGGTCTGAAGGGTCTCCTCTCAGAATTTTTTAAGGGTTTTACAGAATTTTTAAACGATTTTATGGAATTTTTTTAAAGGATTTTACAGATTTTTTTTTAAAGGATTTTACAGAATTTTTAAACGATTTTATGGAATTTTTTTTTAAAGATTTTACAGGGTTTTTAAAGGATTTTGCTAATTGTTTTTTTTTTTTTTAAGGATTTTAAAGAATTTTTAAACGATTTTAGAGAATTTTTTTCCGGGTGGGTACAAATTCTGGGGAAGCATCCAGTGTGTATATCCAGAATAACTGTAAAGTCTGTGTCATAAAGTCCTTTCAATCACCGTACATCTTTTTCCACTTCTGAAATTTTCCCCGTTCCCATTCCTGGTCCTTCACAGTTGGGTGGGGGGGGGAAACAGTTTTTCCCCCTGAAGTTACAAAAATGGTAAAAACCCCAGGGGGTGGTGGCGACCCTTGAAGTTTTGAGGTTTTACCTCAAAATAGAAACGTGTCACAAGCAGAACGGAAGAGAAGGTTGTTGTGGAGGGAGGTGGCCACGTGGAAAACCATCTCACACTGGGTCATAGAATCATAGAATCGATTGGGTTGGAGAAGACCTCCGAGATCATCGAGTCCAACCCTTGGTCCAAATCCAGTCCATTTACTGGATCATGGCACTCAGTGCCACGTCCAATCTGCGTTTAAAAATCTCCAGGGATGGTGAATCCCCCACCTCTCTGGGCAGCCCATTCCAATGCCTGATTGCTCTCTCTGTAAAGAATTTTCTCCTGATATCCAACTTAAATTTCTCCTGGTGGAGCTTAAGCCCGTGCCCCCTTGTCCTGTTGCTGAGTGCCTGAGAGAAGAGACCAACCCCCACCTGGCCAGAACTTCCCTTCAGGTAGTTATAGACGGTGATGAGGTCACCTCTGAGCCTCCTCTTCTCCAGGCTAAACAACCCCAGCTCCCTCAGCCTCTCCCCATAGGACTTGTGCTCCAGTCCCTTCACCAGCCTCGTTGCTCTTCTCTGGACCCGCTCCAGCACCTCAATATCCTTCCTGAACTGAGGGTCCCAGAGCTGAACACGATACTCAAGGTGTGGCCTCACCAACGCAGAGTACGGGGGAAGGATCACTTCCCTGCTCCTGCTGGCCACGCTATTTTTGATACAGGACAAGATCCTGTTGCCGTGGGATTTATGTGCTGAAAAAAATCTCCAGAGCAGTAAATTAGGGGTGAGATAAGAAAGGGTTTATTTGCCAAGGCTAAGATGTTACAAGACGGGTGCCCCTGTGCCCGAGAGGTTACATTTTATAACACCATCCATCCAATCCCAGATGTGTCCACCCTGTAACCTTTACTCTGGCCCGCCCTGGGGTCCACCCCCTTTAAAATGGGTCTGGGGTGTATTTCAGGACCCCTCATTCATCCCATCTTCACCATCATCAGAGCACAAAGGGTACATAGTTACCTAATTTCTGACCTATTCTGTGGTTTAGGCCCAGATATGCTGTTCTGTCAACTGTCTAGGCCTTGCCTTGACAAAAGACTAAACATTTCTATTGTATTCAGAAGCAGGATTGATATGGGGAGCATAGAATGGGGTAAGAGGGTTAAGGAATGTATAAACAAGGGTGCTACAGGGAAAGGGACAAGGGTCAAGGGATGCTGCTTTTAGAGTCTACCTATAAAACTTACAAGGCTTACCAATATTAGAAAAATAAAAAAACCATTAGGGGCTTAAGGCATCAATCCCATTGGACTTCTTGGCCACCTGGGCACACTGTTGGCTCATGTTGAGCTTCCTGTCAATTAGTACCCCCAGGTCCCTGTCTGCCTGGCTGCTTTCCAGCCACTCTGTGCCCAGCCTGTAGCGCTGCCAGGGGGTTGTTGTGGCCAAAGTGCAGGACCCGGCACTTGGCTTTATTGAACTTCATCCCATTGGAATCAGCCCATCTCTCAAGTCTATCCAGATCCCTCTGCAGAGCCCTCCTGCCTTCCAGCAGGTCGACACTCCCTCCCAGTTTGGTGTCATCACCAGCAAATTTGCTGATGATGGACTCGATCGAGATGTGGTCGAGATGTGGGAGGGGGTCTGGACCAGGGAATTAGATTTTTGGGGTTCTCAAAGCATGACACCCCCTTCCCCAGGGAGGCTTCGAGTACAAGAGGGCCATCGTGGACTGCATCATCAGCATCATCGAGGAGAACCCCGAGAGCAAGGAGGCCGGGCTGGCCCACCTGTGCGAGTTCATCGAGGACTGCGAGCACACCGTGCTGGCCACCAAGATCCTGCACCTGCTGGGCAAGGAAGGGCCCCGCACGCCGGCCCCCTCCAAGTACATCCGCTTCATCTTCAACAGGGTGGTGCTGGAGAACGAGGCCGTCAGGGCTGGTGAGCGTCCACCCCAAAGGATTGGGAATTCCCGCCTGGAATTTGGGGGCTGGGAATGTGGGAGGGTGATGGTTCTCGGCCTTGTCTCGGCGCGAGGCCACTCCTGGTTTATGGAGGTTTTTTAAGGGTTGCATGGAATTTTTTTTAAGGGTTTTGCAGAATTTTTAAAGGATTTTATGAAAGTTTTTTTTAAGGGTTTTACAGAATTTTTTTAAGGATTTTTTTAAGGATTTTTTTACAGAATTTTTTTTAAGGATTTTATGGAATTTTTTAAAGGATTTTACAGGTTTTTTTTTTAAGGATTTTACAGAATATTTTAAAGGATTTTATGAAAGTTTTTTTTTAGGGTTTTACAGAATTTTTTTAAGGATTTATTTAAGGATTTTACAGAATATTTTAAAGGATTTTATGAAAGTTTTTTTTAAGGGTTTTACAGAATTTTTTTAAGGATTTTTTTAAGGATTTTACAGAATATTTTAAAGGATTTTACAGATTTTTTTTTTAAGGATTTTACAGAATATTTTAAAGGATTTTATGAAAGTTTTTTTTTAGGGTTTTACAGGATTTTTTTAAGGATTTATTTAAGGATTTTACAGAATATTTTAAAGGATTTTACAGATTTTTTTTTAAGGATTTTACAGAATATTTTAAAGGATTTTATAAAAGTTTTTTTTAAGGGTTTTACAGAATTTTTTTAAGGATTTTTTTAAGGATGTTGTGGAATTTTTTAAAGGATTTCATGGAATTTTTTTTTTAAGGATTTTACAGACTTTTAAATGATTTTACGGATTTTTTTTTTTTTAAGGATTTTACAGAATATTTTAAAGGATTATACAGATTTTTTTTTTTTAAGGATTTTACAGAATATTTTAAAGGATTTTACAGATTTTTTTTTAAGGATTTTACAGAATATTTTAAACGATTTTATGGAATTTTTTTAAAGGATTTTACAGAATATTTTAAAGGATTTTACGGATGTTTTTTTAAGGATTTTACAGAATTTTTAAACGATTTTATGGAATTTTTTTTAAGGATTTTACAGATTTTTAAACGATTTTACAGATTTTTTTTTTTTAGGATTTTACAGAATATTTTAAAGGATTTTACGGATTTTTTTTAAGGATTTTACAGAATTTTTAAATGATTTTATGGAATTTTTTTTAAGGATTTTACAGAATATTTTAAAGGATTTTATGGATTTTTTTTTTAAGGATTTTACAGAATATTTTTAAGGATTTTATGGATTATTTTTTAAGGATCTTACAGAATTTTTAAACAATTTTATGGAATTTTTTTTAAGGATTTTA